AAGCTTAGATGAGATAATGTACATAAGTGACATATAAACAGATTTCATTGTTACATTACTATCAAATAGATGATATTAATAGTCTTGATGTGGCATGGTTAGGACCTCAGCCTAAGATGTAGTCCAAAGATGTAGTCTAAGGCTCAAAGTAGAGTTAAGGAAGAACTTGGGAGGTGATCTTCCACAGTCCTGGAGATTGTCAGGAAGCATTAAAAATTTTAATTTTAATGTTGCAAAGGTTCTTACAGGACATCTAATCTAACCCTTTCATTTTGCAGATATAGTAGCTGAAGGGCAGAGAAGTATGTTGTTTGTCCAAGGCCTCATAACTGGTTAAAAGAAGAGGCAAAATTAGGTTCCACACCCTGTCGCTTCCTTTTATGACAATCCAAGTTCATCAGTCTGTTCAAGCCGAAGATCAGCACTCCTCACCCTTCACCCTTGACTGACCCAATCCATACTCATCATTCTTTTACTTTGGGTACCATGAGAAAGTCAAGTTGAAGTCACTGAGTGTTTGTTAAGTACCCACCATGTGCCAGGCTCTGTACTAAGTACTGGAAACCACCCCTGCCCTCAAGAAGCTCACAATCTAATAGAGGGATATATGCAAACCACATACAACAGGAACAATACTGTGAGCATGATCAACTGTGAAAGACTTAGCTACTCTCATTAAGACAATTCTAAAGGACCCAAGATAAAAAAAAATGCTATCTACCTCCAGAAAGAGAATCAATGAACTCTGAATGTAGATTGAAGCATACTTTTTAAAAACTTTATATCATTTTATTTTATTTGTTTTTTGGTTTTGCAACATGGCTAATATAAAAATATTTTTTATATGGCCTCACATGTACAATTGCAATCAATTTGTTTGCTTTCTCAAGGAGGGGAGAGGAATGGGAAGGAGGTAGAGAATTTGGAGCTCAAATTTTTTTTATTAATTTATTTTGATTTATCAACAATCACTTCCATATGCCTTTGAGTTTAAAATTTTTCTTCCCCTTCCTCCCCACCACCCTCTTCAAGACGGTACACAATCTGATATAGGATATATATATATATATATATAGATATAGATATATATATATATAGATATATAGGATATATATATATATATTCTTATTAAACATATTTTCAGATTAGTGATGCTGTAAGTAAAAATTAGAAACAACAGGAAGAACCACCAGAAAGAGGAAACAAAACTCAACAGAAGAGAGAAAAAAAATAGCAAATAGTATGCTTCAATCTGCATTCAAATTCCATAGTTCTTTCTTTGTATGTGGATAGCATTTTCCATCATGAGGCTTTTGAAGATGTCTTAGATCCTTGTATTGCTGGGAAGGGTTAAGTTTATCAATATTAGTCATCACACAACGTGGCTGTTATTGTGTACAACACTCTCTTGGTTCTGCTCATTTCACTCAGCATCAGACCATACAAGTCTTTCCACGTTTTTCTGAAGTCAGCCTGTTCATCATTTCTTATAGCACAATAGTGTTCCATTACATTCATATACCACAACTTGCTCAGCCATTCCCCAATAGATGGGCATCCTCTCAATTTCTAATTCTTTCCCACTATAAAAAGAGCTGCTGTGAATATTTTTGTACATGTGGGTCCTTTTTCCATTTGCATGATCTCTTTGGGATATAGCCCTAGAAGTGCTATTGCTGGGTCAAAGGGTGTGCACATTTTTGTAGGCCTTTGGGCATAGCTCCAAACTGTTCTCCCAAATGGTTGAATCATTTCACAACTCCACAACAATGCATTAGAGTTCCAATTTTCCCACATCTTCTTCAACACTTATCACTTTCCTGTTTGGTCATGTTGGCCAATCTGATAGGTGTGATGTGGTACCTCAGAGTTGTTCTGATTTGCTTTTCACTAATCAATAATGATTTAGAGCATTTTTTTCATATGACTATAGATGGCTTTAATTTCTTCATATGAGAACTTCGTGTTCATATCCTTTGACCATTTATCAAATGGGAAATGACTTACCTTCTTACAAATTTGACTTAATTCTCTCTATATTTTAGAAATGGAGCTCAAAATTTTTAAGAAGTGATTGTTAAAAATTGATTATGTATCATTGGGAAATATTTAATGAAATAAATAAAAATAATTTTTATAAACTATTGTACAGACAACAGAAACACAAGATAAGTTGCAGATTATTTCAGAGCGAAAGCACTGACTTTCAGGAAGATGGGGAAAGGCCTTTTACAGAAGGCTGGATTTTAGCTCGGACTTGAAGGAAATCAGGGAATCCAAGAGGCAGAAATGAGAGGGCAAGTGTTGCAAGCACAGAAGACGGCCAATGCAAAAGTGCAGTCAGGAGATGCAGTATCTTGTGCAAGCAACCACAAGGAAGCTGGTGTCACTGGATCACAGAGTACACTAAGAGGAGTAGGGTAGAAGAAGACTGGAAAAATTGGAAGGGGCAGCCAGGTGGTACAGTGGATAGAGCACTAGGACTAGAGTCAGGAAGATCTGAGTTCAAATTCAGCCTCAGACACTGACTAGCTGTGTGACCCTGGGCAAGTCACTTAATCCCTTTTGCCTCAGTTCCTCATCTATAAAATGGGGCCACACTGGTGAAGGCAATGGCAAAGCACTTTGCCAAGACAACCCCATGGACTTGGGTCACAAAGAATCGGACAAAATTGAAGAACAACAAGGTTGTGAGAGAGGAATTAGTTTTATTCTATTTGGAACAACACATCAAAGTTAAAAGAGGCAGATTTAGGTTCAATGTTAGAAAAGGCTTCCTAGCAATAAAAATCATGCAGGAGTGAAATAGGATGCTTTAAGAGGAACTTGGTTCCTTTCTCTAGAAGATTCAGGAATTCTTGCTGAGGTCAGGATTAAACTATATAACCTGTCAGGTTCCTCCCAATTCTGTGATAGCACTTGAAGGTTTTTTAAAGCTCTTTCCTCAAGTCCACCTCATGACATAGGCAGCATCCTTAGCATCACTATTATCTCTCCCAGCAATTTATGTATAATTTCTATTACATTATTGGACACTTGTTTTTTATCTCAGAATGTTTCATGAAGCAATCAGTAAGCAAATATGAGGCAGCATGGCACTGAGGATCATGCTGAACTTAGAATGAACAAGAACTGAGCTCAAATTCTTACTCATATGCTTGTTTGTTGAATTAGTCGAGCAAGGGACTTAACCTCTCTTAGACTCAGATTCTTTGTAAAGGAGAGACTACCTGATAGGGTTATGGTGAAGGCCAAGTGAAATGATACATGTAAAGGGCTTTGTGAATCTTAAAGTGTTATATCCAATTAAGCCATTGATATTAATTCTGTTTCTTTTTTTTTTTTTGTGGGGAGGCAATTGGAGTTAAGTGATTTGGCCACCACAGTCACATAGATTGTAAATGTCTAAAGCCAAATTTGAACTCAGGTCCTCCTTATTCTTGGGTTAGTGCTCTATCCACTGTGCCACCTAGCTGCCTCTATCATCATCGTCATCATCATCATTCTCCTACAATGTCTTGTTTGTCTGTCTATACTGGTTATTTCCCAACAAAATTGTGTCCTCCTTATTACAGAGTCCCAAAAGCACTATGTTAGTGCCTTTATCATTTTTAAGCTATTAAGGCTTAATACACAGGAGGTACTCAGTAAATTCTTATTTGAATGAAAATTATAGTAAGAGAAAGAAAACAAGCAAGCAAATAACTCCTGATGAGGTTGACCAACACCCTTGGATTTAATGGACTAAAAATTACTCGGTTTGGATCTGGACTTGTGATTTCATCAGTATAGAATGATGATGACTGGTAATTCATCTTTAACTTCTAGTCATAGAGAGCTCTCTAGGGCACTAATAAGTTAAGTGACTTATCCAAGGTTGTATAACCAGTTTGTGTCTGAGGCCTTGAACCTAGGTCTTCCTGGCTCCAAGACTAGCCCTTCCATTATGCCATGTTGCCTCTCTAAAAATGTACTGCAGTTACTTATCCTGGGGCTTAGATTTTGCTTCCTATCCCCTCTTTCTTTAACTGCACTACCCTCCTTGTTCCCCCCACTATCATATCTTCCTTCTCACTCCAATCACAACCAACAATGAATATATTTAAAGAAACTTCTCTGGCCATCTTAAATTATGTTAGCGATTCTTAACACATCTATTCCTTAATGTTTGTAGTTTAATTGAAATTTCTGAAGGTATTCAAAAAGTTGGGAGTGGGTTAGAAGAGATAACCCTTCCAATGTTGGGAATATTTAGTACAGTCACTTAAGTGACAGATGGGTCATTGCCCAAGTTGATAATACAGCTTTTGGCTAGCTCTCTTAGAGTTGGTCCTAAAAATGGTGCTCATCTTCCAGTCTCTAGGGTCCATGTTGGGTCTAATTTTCCCTTTATCTTTCCCTAATATCTACAGTTCATGGTCTGGGAGATGGTAATTATGCATATTCTCATAGTATATACCCATGTACTCAGTACACTTATGAAGAATTTACTATTATGGTGAGCTTTCTTAGTTAGTGGATAGGGCATGGAACTTGGAGTAAGGAAGACGTGGATTTTAATTTTGCCTCAGACACTTAATAGCTGCATGACCCTGGGCAAATCATTTAACTTTTGTGCCTCAGTTTCCTTCCAGATCTATGATCTTATGATACCACAATCTTAAAGATGCAAACATACTCATGGATACCTATATACCTACCTATGACAGGTCACGTCTTAGTTTCACTGTCACTTCCTTGCCTGTTTCCATATGTGGCTATGTTAATACTTTTAACATGATTTTAATGGATTTGGCTCTGTAACCATTACAGGAGGAAAAAAAAATCACACTGGGACCTTACAAGTAAAACTATAAAATTTGCCTCAGTACAAATTACTATTGCATAGATCATTTGGTTTTTACATTTTCCCATTACATCAAATAAAAATGCTTTATTTATTTATTTATTTTTTTTTTTTAAACATAAGCCTAGGACCTAGACTTATTTGCAATGGCCTATGAAGTCATTTGAGGATGGAAGCAGCAAAGGCTATTTGGCACATTCTTACTTTTTAACGTTTGGTGGGGCTTGATGGAAAGCTTCTTTTGTCTTTTTTCTTCTGGAGCTGGAGGATGTATGCCGACTGTCAGCACGCAGGAGAACTAAGTTTTCATTCCTTTTCTCTTGCCCTTCCTTCTCTTGTAACAAGAGTTCTTAACCTGTGGCCCGCAGACTCTTTGGTCAGTAGATAGATTTCAGAGGTTTGGTGAACTTGGATAGGAAAAACAATTACATCTTAATTTTCACTAGTTTCTTAAAAAAAAAATTTCTTTGCCATCCCATGTATTCTATCTTATGTATTTAAAACTGTTATTCTGAAAAGGGGTCCATAGACTTCACCAGACTGCCCAAGAAGTCCCTAGTGCAAAAAAATCCATCTCTCATAGAGGGCATCTCACACAGATGTGAGGATCCAGATAATAGCAACGTCCAACCTGACAACTACCATTTCTGAATAGAATGCTAATTTTATTTTTGAAAGGTCAAGTTAACTTTTTTTGTTCCATATTTGAAGTAAAAATCCTTAACTCTGGAAGCAGCTTAAATACAGACAGTACAGAAAGAAGCCAACATGGGTGCAGCTCTTCAAGGTCTGCAGATTGCATGAGGATTTAATTTCTGAGAGAAGTAGCCAAATCCACATCTTTCAACATGGAAAGAGGTTGCCATGGCCTATAAGGGCCATCCCAGCAAGATGTAAATCGTGATGAATTCTCAGCTTTATAGACGGAGCTGGGAGGGAACTATTTTCCAACAATCATTGAAACTCTGTGCCCTGAATCTCCTTTGCCTGGCACCTTTCAGAATAAGAGGACTGGCCCAACTGGAAAGCATCACCTGCACGATTTGGGAAAGGTATTTGTCCTTTTATTGGCTTTCTCTGCTTGGGTACTGTGCCAAGTAGCCCAGCATACAAACTATTTAGGAGCTGTTGTAGGGGAGACCCTCCCTCTCTGTGGTAATAGCAGTCACAGCTGAGTCATGCCCAACAGTGATAGAGAACTGGCTGGACTCAACATTTTGAATATCTAGCAATCCCATCTAGCTTACCTTGGGGCTGACACTTCCCCCATCACCATTTGAATGCCCTAACCTGTGGCTGAGAACAAGAGTCCCACACGGTAGTATAGTTGAAAAAACAAAATGGCACCATCACCACATCAAACAAACAAAAACCATGGATCAGACAGCCACAGAAAGAAGGTCTACAGATTTTGAGCTACGTGGGACTTCGGAGGCCATTGAGTCCAACCCCCTTGTTTTACAAATGGGGAAACTGAGACTGAAAAAGGTTAAAGGACTTGTCCAAAGGGACACAACTAGTGTCTGGAACAGGATTTGAATTCACATCTTCCTGGCTTTCAAGACTAACATTTTATCATTTTATCCACTGAGTCATATGGCCTTCAATAAGGGTCACTCTTTGCCTCTTGTTTCCCCATATGTCAAATAAAGAGGTGTACTGAAAGGACTTTTCTTGATAGAAGGACTTTTTTTTTTACAAAGAACTTAAATCTACACCTTTCCACTTCCATGCACTGTCCCCACTTGTGACTTCCATAGCCCAGTGCAAGGGTCCAGAACCTGATGCCTTGAGGCCACATGTGGCCCTTTGACTGAATCCAAACTTCATAGAACAAATCCCCTTAATGAAAGGACTTGTTCTATAAAACTTGGCCACGTGAGGCCTCGAGGCCACAGGTTCCCCACCCCTGGCCCAGTGGAATAGAATTCTCCTACTATCAGAAAAAGGAAGTATATGAATATTTCAATAAATAGCTCAGTGAGCTTGATGCAGACACTTGGCAAAATTTGAGAATGTATCATTAAAGGAATATTTGTGAGAATTTAGAGACAATAGTGGACAAACAGCTGGTCTTGGAGTCAGGAAGGCTTGTATTCAAGTTATGTCTGCCAAATATTGGCTGTGTGACCATGGGGAAAGTCATCTGACCCCTAAGTGTTCCAGGAAATACTTTTAAGATGACAGATATCACAACTCTGATTTCTTTGGGGGCAGAAGGGGATGGAATCCTGGTGTTAGAAACTCCCTTTACCAATGCAGATTGAAAACTATGAGTTTGTAAAGGAAGTTTTTACATTGGGATTGCCCCACATCAAATAAATCAAAGTTCCCAAGGGGAAAAAAAATGTGAGAACATAGAAAGGGAAGAGGTGATCACCCCTTTACAGCATGAGATCATTAAGGACAAGTCATACCAGACTAAGCTCATTTCCTTGTGTGACAGAATTCTCAGACGAATAGATCAGAGGAATAGCATGACCATAACAGAACTGGATTTCAGTAAGACACTTAACAAATTCTCTCCAAACAGCCCTGTAGACAAGGTGAAGAGATGTGGCAGTCTGTTTAGGTGGGTTTAGATCTGGTCATTTGACCTGCCCCAAAGAGTACCACTTAATTACTTCATGTCACCCTGGAGGGAGGTCCCTAAACCTTGTCACAACCTGGCCCCTTCCTACCTCTCTGGTCTTCATATGTTTCACTCACCTCTTCATGCTCTGTGGTCCAGCCGTACTGGCCTACTCACAACTCATACCCACAACATTGTATCTCTCTCCATGCCTTTGCTCTTTCCTCACCTTCCATCCTGGAATCCCTGTTTTCTTTAGAGTCTGGTTTCAAGGAGTGATGATAGAGGCCAGCTTGGGGGAGGGGGAAGGGAACAAACATTAATTAAGCACCTACTATGTGTCAGGCATCGTGCTGAGCACTTTACAAATAGCATCTCATTTGATTGTCACAACAACCCTGGGAGGTAGGTGCTATTATCACTCCTATCACTTAGGAACTGAGGCAAACAGGGTTAAGTGACTTGGCCAGGGTCACACAGCTAGTAAGTGTCTGAGACTGGATTTGAACTGAGGTTTTTCTGACTACATGCCTAGTGCTCTATTCACTGAATCACCTAGCTGCCTATCTTCTAAATAAATAATTTCCCGGTCCCCAGCTACAACTTCACTCCCACCCCAAACTACCTCATATTCATTTTCTATATATTCAGCATATATTTTTATGTGTATGTGTTGTCTCATTAACTAAAATATAATCTCCTTGAGATCCAAGACTGTTTTGCTTTTGACTTTGAGTCACATGGGCTTAGTAGAGTCCCTGATAAATACAAAGTAATACCATGCAAACTCTCTGAGCTTCAATTTTCTTATCTGTAAAATGAGAGCAATAATTTTATACCATATGCTTTGTTTGTGAGATTATTCTGAGGAAAATGCTGGGTAAACCCTAGAAAACCCTATATAAACATAGCTAGGTGGAGCTAGGTGGTGCAGTGGATAGAGTACTTCATGAGGTCAAATCCAGCCTCAGATAACTTACTAGCTACGTGACTCTGGGTAAGTCACTTAATTCCGTTTGCCTCAGTTTCCTCATCTGTAAAGTGAGTTGAAGAAGGAAATGGCAAACCACTTCAGTATCTTTGTCAAGAAAACCCCAAATCATGTCACGAAGAGTTGGACGTGACTGAAACAACTGAACAACAAGAATATAAACACAAGCAAGATGAGAGCCAGTGTAGTATGTAGTCAGAGAGTTGGTCTTGAAAGCAGAAAGACCTGGGCCTTGTGTGCCCCTAACCAAGTCACTTCTCAATGCCTCAGGCAACTCTGTAAGTCTGAAGAGTAAATGCTGACCTGTGCTGGTAAATTGAGTTTCCTCACTGAAAATTTCTTATAGCAATGAATTCAAGGTCCGGTCAAAAAAAAAAAATAGGAGGCAGGGACTCTAATTTAGTCACTATGGCTACTCCCTTCATAAACGCAGAATACAATCCTTCTACAAGTCACTAAGAGTTGCAGTGGCTGAAAACTTCATCACCAAATTCAGTGACAAGCTTCTTTACACTTCTCTAGGCTGATCTCTGGGTAACAGACACACAGCCCATGCTCAGCCTTGTGTTCAGTGCCTTTCTAGCCCAGTACAACATACTACTGTGCTCTTTTATCACAGCCTTTGAGCATCCAGGGTCATCTTCATATCACTACATGACATCATAATAGGCTAAGAATAACAAGGTGTAACCAGTGACTCAATGCAAACTTTCACACTCAGTTCCAATCAATTACCCAAGGACAAGATGGTGAAGATGTGGCTAGAAAAGGGTTCTGGAAAAGGCCCAGAGAAAGGCCCAGAGAGGCAGGTTACTATCAGGCAGCAATGTGGGATGTGTGGTCAGCAACATTAACATGCATTTAGGCTGCACTAATACAAGTATAGAGTTCACAAGAGAGAAAATGGTTTGGCTGTCCTCTACCGTGGAGGGACCACATCTAGAGAGTTTCCTCAAATCTGGGTGCCGTATTTTAGACAGGATGTTGGCAATCTACCACAAATCCAGTTAACAGCAACCAGGATGGTGATGGGATTCAAACCATGCCATAAGAAGATTGGATAAAGTAATTAGGGATGTTTAGAAGGGAAGACTTAAGGGAAACTACCTGTCATCTTCAAATATTTGAAGGACTGTCACACTAACATCCTCTTCTCTTGATGCCTCATCATAGCATAGTAGTGTCCTTGGGTACTCCAAGTTTAAACTCACAGAGCCCAAACTCTTGCAGGGCTTACCAAATTAGAAGGACTTCAGATACAATCCCAGGAGAGGAATGTGTGTCTGTCAGCTGAGGACCACAGAATCACAAAGTCACAAAACTTCAGAGTTGAAGAGGATCTCCACAATCATTTGAAACAACACCCATTTGATCAAGAATGCTCTCCGTAATATACATGAAATGTAGTCATCCAGTCCTGCAAGGTCTCTAATGAAACAGAACCCACTACCTTCCAAAAAAAACATACTGCTTAGATTTTTGGACAAGTTTTCTTTTCATCAAGTCTAAATTTTTGAAACCTCTCTTATTGCCCCTAGTACTGCCTTTTGGTGCCAACCAGGACAATGCTTTGGATGAGTGAGGAAAACTCTCATGTCCCCCTTAAGCTTTCTCTTGTCCGGGCTAAACATGCTCATTTCAACCACTGCTCATACGGCTGCTTACCATCCTGATTGTCTTTCTTCAGATGACTTCTAACTTATCAGTCTTGCTCCTCAAAAATAATGTACAGACTAAGACATGATATTGCCGACGTAGTCTGACCAGGACAGGGCACAGTGAGACAGCCACCTCCTTATTCTTGACTGCTCAATGGACTCTATGATAACATTAGCCTCCTCAGCTTCCAAATCACACCATTAACTCATATAGACCTTACTACCTACTAAAAGCCCTGAAATCTTTCTCAGGTGAACTGCTATAGCCATGCTACCAGCACCTGCACAGAGCCTTGTACATTACTACGTGCTTAATGAACAATTGCTGAAGAACCTTAAATTTAATGTCCACAAAGCACAATTTAAGAAGGAAAAGATCATGGCCTGCCAATGGACTGTATTTTACACAATTTAGAGATACTCCTTACCAGATTGACAGCAGTGAGAGAAGTTTGAGAGGTCAACTCTGAAAAAATCATCTGCCAAGTCTTGGAGGGGCCGCAATCTGTGTCGGTAGAGGGAATGCTCACACTGATATGCTGAAATAGCAAAAGCTATCAGAAATATTTGAATAACTCATCTCTAAAGCAAATGCATCCTTTTTTTTGCAACGTGATATTCACTATTAGCTTTACATAACAGTTTTCAAACAGCCAAGACACAGGAAAGAGTCCTTTGAGGCTGGAGAAGGCAGGTGCTACATGCTCTGAAGTTTCCCTTTAAAAAGACTTAGTAGATTTCCTTCAAAGTGCAGTTCATTATATAACAGATTTGCATAAATGGTAGTTGATTACAGAGGGAAAAAAACCCATTGGTTGTAGAATCAAGGATTTGCATTCAAATCCTACCTCTGATACATACCTGTATGAACTTGGACAAGTTACTTAACATCTCTAAGCCTCAGTGATAGTACCTGCAAAATGGGGGAGTTGAGGTAACTTGGAGTTAGATCTGTGCTCCTACAAGTCCTCTCACATTCTACCTCCCCCACCCTCTGTCTGCCTTAAGACACAGAAAGGCTGATATGCCACCTTGATATAAACAGCAGGCATCACTCAGTCTTGTTTTATGCAGGACTTCCCCTGCAGAAATTAGAAGCATGTTCTTACCCGTTCCTGTTGTTTTTTCACATTAACTTGAAATTTAAAAGTAAAAAGAGGGAGAGAGGAAGATCATAAACATGAGTCACTAGTATGTAAAACAAATATTTTCTTTTCTGTGCTCTCTAGGAACACTGGAGATTTTAGAGAATACTTTAAAAACTCATTATGGTGGCATTTGGCAGTTTTATGAGAGGGGGCAATTCAGGAAGAGCTGGTTCACCTCAAAGGAAATGTTTCCTCTTGAAAGTAGGTCACTTCCCTTGGTCCTTCACAAGATCAGATGTAAATAGGTCCGAGTAATAGTTATAGAGTACAGAAAATGCGTGGAGTCAGTAAAGGAGGCAGGAAGGAAGAATGTTCATCAGGATCTTCAGCATTCCCACGTGGGGGTAATATTCCCAGGTGCCTCAGTAGAGTAGTTATGGCTCAATTTTTTTTTCAAGGCAATTGGGGTTAAGTGACTTGTCCAGGGTTGCACAGAAAGTAAGTGTCAAATGTTTAGTCTGAGGCCAGCTTTGAACTCAGGTCCTCCTGACTTCAGGACCAGTGCTCTACCCACTGTGCCACCTAGCTGCCCCTATTATGACTCTATTTGCAATATATTTCTTGAATACCTAGCAAAGACCTTATGACAACTTCCTGATAAGTACTAGTACTAAAAATATAGGAGGAACTCAAGAACCGTACCTGTTGATTGAACTGAACACTCTTGAATTCGTTCAAAAAGCATTTAAGTAGTGAGGGTTGTTGAGAAAGCACCTGCTACCCAGATCTACAGTGGATACTCAGAAATGCCATTCACTCATTCATTTATTCGTTCATTTATTCAATAAGACTATTCCTTTAAGTGCACTATGCTGGGATTTGCGGGGAACAAAACAGAGGCACAGAGCACTTCCTAGAAAGTCTGTACTCAAATGTAAAGAAAAGCTGCTTAGTGAATGCATATGGCTACAAGCTGAGATATGCAGTCACAGAAGTATTTCTTGGGAATGCCTCGACCTTGAAAATGACTCGACCTTGAAAATGCCTCTGCTTGAATAAATAGCTGTTACCTATGCTGTTTGGAAAGGTTTTATTGGAGAAAAGAGTAAGTCCGTGAAGCAACAACAGTTTTCAGAATGCTAACCGTAACAGCATGGGGAATTGTCAGAGTCTTCAGAATGCTGAAAGAATGGTCTATCTCGCTGAGAGTAAGATGTGCAATGCTGTGAAAGATACTTGGGTAAAATAATAATATGTACTGTAACTCCAAGATTGAGGTTACTTAACAAATTACCTGGGGCCAAGACAGAATAATAACTGCCACTATAAATAGCCCGAAACAGTTCTAAAGTACTGAGAATGAACATAGCAAAACTGGGGTGATACCTGGGAGAAAAAAAATTGATATTCTGCATGCACATGCATGCAGAATGAGCAAAATACTACATTTCTCATGCTTTTAATTGTTCTCAGGACAAAGAAAGGAGGTACTGGCAAGGAAAGCTCCCTCAATTAATTACAAGGAGGTCTACAATAACAGCATATTTAAATGTGTGTGAACTAAGGAAAATTCTAGGTTTCAGTATCTTCATCTTTTAAAGAGAAGGAGTTGGGTTAGATAATCACCATAGTCCCTTCCAGATCTGATATTCTGCAATTCTAAGAAAAAGTGTGGCTTACAACAGGAGTTAAGTTTATAACAACCTGGGGAAAACCATTCTGATCCTTCTTCCTAAAAAGTGAGACTAGCTTTGGGTCACAGTCCTCATTCCCTTAGTCCAGGGAGCTCCTGAAACACGCCTGCTGACATAGCCATGCTTGGCTTGATCATAATTACAACTCATCTCTTGTTCCTTCGTAGTTGTTTGGAATGAATGCCTTAGTTACTTCCCCTTTGCTCATCAGACTCCAGCCAAAACAGCAAATGCGGGGAAAGTGAGCATGTGGTCATATGGCTAAGCTGAGGAAGAAGTTTTGTTGTTGACAGGGTGGGGAACCTGTGCCCTCAAGGTCACATGTGGCCTTCTAGTTCTGTGGGTACAGCCTTTTGACTGAGTCCAAATTTCACAGAAGAAATCCTTTTATTAAGGGGATTTGTTCAGTGAAGTTTGGACTCAGTCAAAGGGCCGCATGTGAGGATCTAGAGGGCCACATGTAGCTTCAAGGCCACAGGTTCCCCACCCTGTTCTAGATTATAACTGACTCATCCCTTGAAAGTGGCAAGATGCTTCCAACTCACCATCAGATCTGACGTAAAGCTTGGGATGCAGAGGGTGTGTGGAATGTTAATTCCAATCCTCAGTAGGATCCAAGAAATAGGGATGAACACTCTAGTATGTGTCTAGTGTAGACCGAAGTAGCCTGTGAGGTTTAAAGATGCATAGATTATCTGAACTCTGTCTTCATTGGTTATTGTTTGGTCATTTTTTTTTAGGCATGTTCGATTCTCTTTGACCCTGTTTATGGTTTTCTTGACAAAGATACAGGAGTAGTTTGCAATTTTGTTCTCCAGCTCATTTTAGAGATGAGGAAACTAAGGCAAACAGGGTTAAGTTTTGTGTCCAGGTCACAAAGCTAGTAAGTGTTTGAGGCTGGATTTGAACTCAGGGCTTCCTGACTCCAAGCCTGGCACTCTATCCACTGTGCCACCTAGCTGCCTCTGCCTTAATTCCCTGCCTGGAAAATTGAGCAGCAGCTGGCCACAGTGGAAAGGAGAAATCAGACACCCAAATACAGCTCCTTGCTCACCTTTCTCATTCTCCTTCTCCTACCCCCCACTCTCTCCATCTTTCTGTGTTTTAGATCCAGCAAACATCCTGGTCATCCATCCCAGCAC